GGCGGGCAGGGCGTGGCGGTCGGCGGGCAGGTGTCAGTGTGCCCCTGCCGCTAGTCCTAGCCCTCCCTAGTTTGCCACCCACTCCCCCGCACACCCCCTGGCCCCTGCCTCCCTCGCACCCCTCCTGCCCCCCCTCGCAGACAGCAAGCTGAGCGAGACGCGCATGCTGCAGTTCCAGTGGGGCGCGCACCAGCTGGCCAACAAGATATTTGCGGGTGGGTGGCGCAGCAGCAGGCAGGGCTCTCTTTACTGAGCGTGTTACGAGCAGCCGGGGGCCCGCCTCTTTGGCGGCGCAGGCTGCGCGCATTGGCTCCTGGCACGCTTTGCATAGTTGTAGACCCAGGGGTGTGGGGGCCGGCACAGCTGCAAGCGCCTGCCCGCCTGCCTGCCTGCCTGCCTGCCTGCCTGCCTGCCTGCCTGCCTGCCTGCCAGGCAGACCAAGTTCAGCCTGCCGGCCGGGGGTGGCGTGCCCATCCGGCCATTGTTGTTCCCCATCCCTGTCCGTGCTGCCTCTTGCTTTTCCTCCCGCTGTTCTGCCGCAGAGGTGGTGCTGCAGCACTACCAGGACGGGGACATTGTGTGGGTGCAGGTGAGTCGTTTGGCGGGCGGCTGGGTGCGGTGTGGCATGGAGGGGAGGCAGGGGAGGCGGGGGGGAGCAGGGCATGGCTCGCTGCCGCCTGGTCCTGGGCTCGCAGGCGGGCTCCAGCCTGCCAGCCCAGGCAGCACCCAGCCTGCCAGCCTGCCTCACTGGACTACCTCACTGCGCTGGCTTACCGGTTGGCTGCCTGCCCCGCCGGCACCCACGCCTATGTCAGCACCCGCACCCGCATACGCACAACACCCACATGCGCCAGCACCCACATACATCAGCACCCACATACCTCAGCACCCACACAATGTCTGCCCTGCCTCTCCACCCCAACCCCACCCTCCCCTGCAGGACTACCACCTCATGCTGCTGCCCGCGATACTCAAGGAGACCAAGCCGCGCATGAAGGTGCGCCCAGGGGGGTGGTGGTGCGGGTGTGGTGGTGTGGGCGAGGCGTGGTGAGGTGATGGAGGGGTGGGACCTGGCTGTGCCATGTGTGTTCTCTGCTGCTGGTGCTGGACAGCCTCCGAGGGGGCGGTACTCGGGGCACAGAGACGCTCTGTGTGGGACAGCAACAATCATAACGTTACAGACAGAAAGGGCGTCGCGGTTGAGGCGCACACTGTGTGGGTGAAGGCGAGGGCAGCCCCCCATGCCTGTGCCAACCACCTT